AAGGTTAGAAGGGTTATCTGTGACCAAAAGGCCTTCGAGTTCGACTAAATGGTCGATGGCGACTCCAATTCATTTAATCCAAGTCGAAGCTCAATTCGGGGCTCATCCGAAAGACAGTTCCGACTGTAAGATAGCCAGTTTTTGGCTCAAAAGTTAGATAGGGTTCTTATCAATTATGTTTGGTCGACGACTTTTCCAAATTCTTTTGTTGAATTCAAGCACTTGGGTTGCATGTCATTGATTAGCTCTGGTTTGTTAAAGTATAGTTTTGTGTTTAAAACTAATAACGAACTTTACTCAAGTATGAATGAGTATGAATGAGTAAATGTACAAGAAAATTTGTTTACACTTTATTTAAGACACTTAAGGATTTATTTATATCTTAAAATTTAGTAATGTAGGGTGCCTTAAAAGGATTATTAAAGTCAGAGAAGAATCTAGTATATCCGCTTATTAAAGGTTAAAGTAAAGTTTTGTGGTTAAAACTAATAACGAACTTTACTCAAGAATGAATGAGTATGAATGAGTAAATGTACAAGAAAATTTGTTTACACTTTATCTAAGACACTTAAGGATTTATTTATATCTTAAAATTTAGTAATGTAGGGTGCCTTAAAAGGATTATTAAAGTCAGAGAAGAATCTAGTATATCCGCTTACTAAAGGTTAAAGTAAAAAACTGGTTCTTGATTCATCGAGGGGATGAGTCTAAAGCCCATTGGTTGAGGAATTCATGGTGGATACCCAACTTAGTTATCTAAGTTCAATGTAGTCAAACGAAGTCATGAAAAGACTCATAGTGCACATTTTTATTTTCCTATCCCTATGATGAATAATTTACATGAACAAAATGAGCTTAATTGCTCTTAATAAATTCATAGTCTAAGCTTTGGGTGACCTTAGTGAGAAAGACTTTTTAATTTACTGATTTTTGGTTGAATATATATTCTTAATAAGTTCATAACCCAGTGTTGAGTGTGTAGTCCTAATCGCAGAGGACTTTATGACTTACCGCTAGAGATGATGATTTTTATTTAAAACTTTTAATGAATTCAAACCCAAAAGTTTGGGTGTTCCTAGTGAGAATGACATATTGAATTCATCGATTAATGAGGTTGGATATTTATCCTTAATGATTTCTAATCACAGAGTTTGGATGGTTCATTTATAAATGAACTTGAAGAAATTCACCTTACCTGTTGTGAGGATGAGTTGTTGTAAAAGCTCTTAATTATTTCATAGCCCGATTTCGGGTTGTTTATGTGGAGATAAACTTGATGAAATAACCTATGTAAGTAAGAAGAATTAGCCATCTTCTATGAAAAATGTTGGGTCATTTTTCTAATACACTTACTATAATACTAAGAAACAGGGCTACACATATATATACTCTTGTATATACTCTTTGTAGAAACATCACATACTTCTGTGGATGAAGGGATTAGTTGTGTGTTATGAGTTCACCCTAATATTAGAAAGTTCAAGATTCATTCACTTATCTAAGAGTAGAATTACTCATCATCACTATGTACTAGTTCAAGACACATTCATTAGGGCTTAAGCAATTAATCTCGTTATTGCTCTTCTCGAGTTTTAACTTCAATGCTCTCATTTTTACGAAAGAATTATTTCGTATTAGTGGAGATTGTTGGTTAATGCTAAAAAAATATAACTCATTACATAATGATATTTAATTCTATTTTAATAGAATTAAATTGTGTGTTTGAAATGATGATTTTTCCCTCACTATTTAGCCTATAAATAGTGAGCAATTTTTCTCTTTTTGAGATACATCCTAAGCAAATGACATTTGCTTTGAAATACTCTTTCTCTTTTGAGTGTTGTTTGAGTTGAGAGAAGAGCAATACCACTAAGTTCACTCCATCTTTCGTGTGTACGAAATTTTGAGAGCCGTGTTACCTCGGGGGACCATTTGTCCATTGTAGCGATTACACACATCGGGACGAATTCGCTTCTAAGCAGTGGATTTCCACGACACGATTATCATTCTATTAAAAATATTTTATTTATTATTTTTAGTCAGTGTTAATACCTCGTTTTGCAGCAATCTATTTTTCCAACAAACATAAATAACTCAAAATTAAAAATAAATTCCTTAGGTAGAGTCAAGTTTTACTCACTTCTAACCATCACCTATTTACTCGTTGTCGCTCATCTATTGACCAATTATCTTCCTTATTACCGTCTCAAATTTTAATTTCATTCAAGTTTTTAGTCCTTATATTTTTCCATTTGATCCAAATTTCTTAAGTGTTATACGACTATTATTTTTCTTATTTCTAATGCTAAACTGACTCAAATGGAATCCTTTTACATAAGTGAAAAGGCCGTGACAAAATTAGCTCTTAATATTTGTACATATAGTTACTTTGATTTATATTTTTTTAAAATATTATAACAGCTAATGTTTAATATTTGGTTAAAATAGTTTATATTAGATAAAAATTATTAATCGACTAATAATCAATATATGTTACTGACGTATTATTTCTATTTGTTTAATTATTGATATATCATGTGCCACACCATAACCTCGAATGACAAGGTATACGTCACACCATAACTTTATATAATAAGTATATGTCATATTATCATTTTGAAAGATACGATACATATTACATCATTATTTCAGATGACATGACATATTCTATGTTAGCAATTAAATATATATGAAAATAACACATCAATAATGTGTTAACCATTAGTTAGCTAATAATTTTCATCCAATAAATGTTATTTTGACTTAAATTGAAATGTTGATAAATATAATGTACTAAAAAAAAATAAAATTCAAAATGATCATTTATGCAAATACAAGTCAAAATTTTCATTATGTGTTTGAGTCATCGACTATAAACGCATGATTTAAAACGATAAAATTTAGCAAATTTCTCCTCAATCGTGTCCTTTCCCAGATTTTCGATCTAAAACCCATTTCATAGACTTCAAAACCGCCCAAATCCGCCATGAACGACGACTACATCACCATCTCCCGCCATTACGACCCGAACCCATACAGTTTCAGGACTTTCACCGTAAATTTCTTCTCGACCCCCATCACAACCACCGTAACCGCTACCCCTGCCGTTGTCCGCGACTGGCTTTACAGAGTCCTTTCCGTCCACCGTTCCCGCCGCCACAAGCTCGTCGTCGGCCTCGGCGTTCAATGGAACGCATTCTCTTCTACTACTCCTCCTCCGGCAGCCACTCTCCAGCTCTGTATCGGACGCCAATGCCTAATCTTCCAACTCCTCCACACAAACACCGTGCCCTTATATCTCCGTCGCTTCTTGGAAGATCCCACCATCACTTTCGTCGGTGTTTGGAACCACAGCGACGAAGAAAAGCTGTATTGGTCGAACCATAGGCTCTCGGTTTCGAGGCTCATCGATGCTCGTGATGTTGCCGCCGATAGACATGGGTTTAGCCGGCAGTTGTCGATGGAGAAGCTGGCTGAGTATATTTTGGGTACCGGTGGAGTTATGAAGCCTCAAAGGATTGGTCTCAGTGCTTGGGATACTTATTGGCTTTCTTTAGAACAGGTCCAGTATGCTTGTGTTGATGCTTATATTAGCTTCGAATTGGGCAAGGAATTGGAAGTTTGGGATTGGGATTGGGATGACGATGACGATGCTGATGCTGATGATTATGATGATGATGATTACGAAGGCTATTAATTGGGTTTGCTTCAATGGGTAATGATGGTTTACTTTTTATCACGCTTCCTTTTGCTTCATACAAAATAAAAATATGATAGTGCAAGTATGAATTTCATATGAATCATGATGTTCATACATGATATTCTATGAATTTTGGATGAGAAATGCAATAAATTTTCTCATGTTAACTAATTAGGGTCATAGGGTATATGTGTCATGCCATCGAATCTTAGCAGTTGCATCATGGAACATTAGTGTATCATGACACACTTGTGCATCGTGTTGTTCTTTATAGTTCACTTCGGGTTTCATGTTTATATAAGTTATAATTGGTAATTCATGAGTGAAATTACTATGTACAACATTGATTTCAATTGATGGTAACATGCTTATAGCTCAATATATATGTCATTTATAATTTATGATGTTTTTTATTGTTGTCATTTACTTTATTTAATCACAATTGAGTTGGAATTCAGCTTGTGATTGTTTTTTAAGCGTAGGTTGATCGTGGCATTCGATAGTAGATTTTGAAATTGCAACGTCCTAAGCAATCACCGCAAGCGGAAACTTAGTAATGACTTCTCTTTTGTTATACGAAGTCGAAAGTGGCATGTATATGGGATAGATGTTAAGCACATGTTTACACTTGTTTTTTTTTTGTTACTATGATCAAACTTAAGCTCTACACGTTATATTGTACCCACACACCCCCACTTTTGCTTGATGGTTATGATAATGATGTTAATGCCATGATGAATATGATGATTAGTTGGTTCATTGCATGCTATACTTTACTATGTTTAAATTAGTGTCCATTATTTGAAACTTTGAGGTAGAGTTTGAGTAGTATAGTTTAGCCATTGATAGTCACATCCTGAAGATGTAGTTGTTTAAATCCTAGACTTTTAACGATAACAACACTTCTTTTCTTTTAACTACTAAGATCGTTTGATGAATTTATTAGATAGATCGTATTAATTGTAAATATTTGTGTCTATTATATTTAAAAACTAAATTATCATTTATGATATTTAAAAGGGTTCCAAAGTCATTAAAATAATACAGACAATTTTGGGTTTTTACATTTAAAAGAAAATAATTTTTCTTTTGATGACTTACGGAATGGTTTGATTAATTTAGTCAAATTTAATTTAATTGATTTTAACTTCAAATTTAATTTAATTGATTTTAACTTTATAATAAAGTCAAATATATTAGGTTACTACTTACTACAGCTGCTAAACATGCACTTGAACGATAACTACGTCAGTAAAATTTTATGGTCCAGTTAAGTCGAGTCGGACGACAATGGAGTTAATTAATTAACAACACGGCAATTCTTCCGAATCTGGCCATCTGTCCCGGTCAGTACCCCTAAGCTTCCCATTTTCAGCATCGAATCCTTGAAGTCCTCGAAGAAGGCCAAAGGGTCCTCGGCATAGGAGAGTACCAGTTGTCGAGTTTGATAATCATCCGTGACGAGCACCTGGTCGGACGGCAGCAATCCCTCCCCAGAAAGAAGGTTAACATAATATTGGTTGTCGAATGTCGCGGGGCTGACCAGATCGAGCTGTGCGAGCCTTGTGTTCCCGTCCGTTTGAGAGCACAGTTGATGCAGGTTTTGAACGAAATCGACGTTGATATCCGGGCCATTCGAGCCCTGAAGCCGCGCGCTGAAAGTCGAACATCGAGCCATCCCCAGCGTGTGTGCACCTGCAACAAATGCCAATGGTTTCATGCTCATTTATGCACTTTAAAACATCTGAGACATGTAAGAAAAAACACAGTACCAGAAAGCACAATCATGTCACTTAATGAGAGGCCAACGTTTTGGAACTTGGTGACAAGTGTTGGCACTGTCGAATTTGGGCCTGGAATGTTGTTTGCTGCTGCTTCTTTACTAGCACCCAAGCTGTCTTTTCTCCCCATTTCCACTTCCCAACTTGGTCCCCCTGACTGAATACTCGAATATATGTTCGACACGGATACATGTTAGATACGAATATATTCGACATAGATGTTTTCTGTATCTAAAAAAGTTCTCTTATGTGTTTGCAACATGCATGAACTCACAATAGCAACGGAGTCTCTGGCAGCAGTTGCAAGAATATCCGCACAAGAAACAGTCTGAGGGCAGACAGATTCGAGCTCCGATTTAATAGCGTCGATAACTTCAAATCCCCTCAGCGAATTCAAGTTTGGCGGTGCGGTTTTCTCGCCGACGAAATCCTCGGTATCATCCAACAACACCGAACCATCACAACCCTGCAAAGCCACAACAACCAACACCAATCACATATATATACACATGTTATAGTAGGACAACCTAAAGAGTGACTTGCATTAACAAAGCAATCGTGGAAATGGAGACGAAGCAACGAAGCCGCCATTCTAGCATCTTGGGACACTGCATTTTCGACGAAGGAGAAGATGATGGATTCGGCCTCGGGGCAGCTGTTTCGATACAAGTCGATCTGCAACACTATGGTAATGTCGTCGACGCATGTTTCGTTCATGGCGCGAGCCACAGTAATGGAAAGCATTACCATGCATAGACATAAAATCAAACACCTGGTCATCTTTCTACTCTTTTTAACACTTACAGACTGCAACTTACGGGTCACACACACACATATATATATATATAAGGAGTGGTTGAAATTTTGAATGAAGAAGCAGTCAAGCGATGGACGGGGTCAAGTTTGTGTATTCGTCATTAGAGTAACAATATGATACCTAACACCATGTGCTCCTGCAGATTGAAGATTTTGAACTATCAAAAAGCATGGATTCAAGTTGTGGTTGCGATTATGGTTTTTTTTTTTATTGTGATGAGGTTATCATGATTGCAGATATAACAAATGTTATTGTGGTCGCTAAGGGTACCGTAGTCGTACAATAAGGACTTCGGACGACAATATTATTATTATTATATAATAATCATTATTATGATAGTAGACCGCTATTTAAATCGCTGATAAAAGAAAAACTTAGGGAAATGTGTCATTTTTGAGTTAGTAGTGTTGGGCTTCGAACTGAACCCAGAAAAGTTAACTGAGAATCTTTTGTTTTTCAGTCCTCATCATGTCCAGCAGCAGTGTGGCTAAGGTCTAAGGAAATATTCAAAACAGCTCATGTAACAATATTTGAATATGCGATGAATTAAATTTATTGAGTGGTTTCAGATAAAAAATATTATTTTTAAATAACTTGAATACGAGGAATTATATAAATTAAAAAATATTTTAAATAAATACTACTTTAGAATCACATCAAACTAATAGAAAAGTATGATGCGTTGATGGTGTGTAATTATTAAATAAAATAACAAAATTTTCAATATATATATATAAGATTACAGAGTTCTAAAAGTGAAAAAAATTAAAAAAAAAATAAGAAAATAGCTTTAAATATATACAAAAAAAAAAGATTACAAAATTCTAAAAGTGAAAGAAAAGAATAAAATAAAATTATTAAAAAAATAATGAAGGTTATAATAAAATATCAGTAACAGTATCGTCTTCTTAAACAATCAAACAAACAAAAAGTTAAAAAAAATAAAACTTTAAACATCAATACTTTTAAATAAGTATCAAACACCAACATAAATACAAAATTTAAAATAACTTGAGTAGTCTTTTTCTTTTTTTCTTTTTTTTGTTTAGCTGACGACGACATTAATAATGTTAGTTTTTGATCGTCGGTGATTATTAATTCTCTTGTTTTTTATATTATGTCTTTTTTTTTCTTTTTCTTAAGTCTTTTTAATTTTGAATAAAAATATCTATCATTGTGACACGTTTTTCTCTATGGCACGATTTTTATTTGTGACCGTTTTTCTTCTCGCACAAAAATCATCACGAGTTCACGACATTTATTTTCTGATTGGTTTGTCGTTGATTACGTATAGTCAGTTTATCTCTTTTGGTAAAATATTGTTTGTTGATGTAATCAGAATTATGTAGTGAAGCAGCTTGCCAGATTATTTAATTTGCTCACCACTCATTTATTACTTCATAAAGCATCTTGTCGTCACCGTTTTTCGTCCATATGGGGAAAAACTAGTACGACTTAAGGGTTTTTCTTTGAAAAAATCTTGAAATGTAAGGAGTAGCCACCAACCATTTAAGGTGTGATTAAAACACCATAAAATCGTGTAATTTCAATAAAACACTTTTATTTTATAAAAATACAGAATTTGGGTCTACGAAAACTAGAAATTAGGTTTGGGAGTCAGTTACGCGTGGGGAAGGATTAGCACTCCCACAGAGCCCAAAAATTTGTACATGGTTGATTACCCTATTTTTTAAAAAAAATTTGGAAATCTTAAGTTCGAACTTTATTTAATAAAAAAATACTATAGATATACAATTGAAAAGGATGTTCGTTTATTTAAGTCAATAGTGTTTACCCCTAGCATGAATGCGGGAGATCAACTATTATGCCCACTAACCGGACATTGTCTTTATTTTAAGAAATAATGATGCAGTCTTGAAAAGGATGTCGACTCATTACGGGAATCACTAGTAGTCGTCCCCTGACCATTATAGCGAGAAGTATACAATTGATATCCTAAATGAATGAACATTGCCTCGGTTTTTTTAAAAAATGCAATCAAACAATCGATTTAAAAGCCTAATTTTACTAGATGAGTGATTTAAGGGGTTTCCTACCTACAGTTGTCAAATTATGTAATTAAAGAATATGGATGACTAAACCTAAAACGAGTCTCTAATATTAACCCTAGCTGATTCTATAAACCAATGATTGAATCGGATAATTGATTTGAGCAATCGAGCATTTTCTTGTGGAAACTCAAATCGAATCATCCCATAAGTAAAAGACTAAGATGAAATTAAACCTAAGGTGTAGGCTCTAATTGTTAACCTAATTGATTATGTTAATTTAAAATTATAATTAAAAGTTTAAGGACTAAAATGTGAAAACTCTAAAGTCTAGGGACTAATCTAAAAAGGCTCTACTAATTGTTCTAATTAACTATTAAGGAATTAAACTAGGTAGACTTTAAAAATTAGTTAATGATTAACAATTTATGGATTCGAACAATCGACTCGAGTAATCTGGCATTTTATGCGAAACCTCGAATCAAATTGTTTCCTAATTAGAACTAAAGTGAAACCCTAATTACTAAATCAAGTTATGTATTGGAATGTAACAACCCGAATATTTACAAAATAATATTTAATTGAAATTTTAGAGGTTAATTGTGAAAATTGGTAAATTGTTGATGACTAAATCAAAATTTATGAGAGTTTATAGGCCATTTTAGAAGTGAAGGAAATCCAAGGACCAAGCCTTGAATTTACCCTAAAACTATCGGCAGCTTTGATTATAAGCGTACATTTGGTTCTGATTTTCAGAACCAAAATGCTCCCAATTTTCCTTTCCCATACGCAATTTCCAACTCCGATTTCGATGCCGTCCAAATTCCGATCATCGTTTTAAACCCACCGTTGTGTTCATCATCGAGCGAGGAACAAACCCTTCAAATTAATTGAAGCGAAACGCGGCCAAACGTCGGGAATTTCCAGTCAAAGTAGCGACGGTTTTGTTAGCTCTATCGCCGAGGAAATCTTAAATTCACCGCTGATCGTTGCTCCGTTTACGACACCTCCCGCACCATCGAGTTCCTTGTGCCGTTCCGAGTTCACCGGTGTCAACCTTGTCCGCCGTAGATGGCGGCGCGTGAGGAGGTGGTGCAGTCAAAGATTCGGCCGATTTGAAATCGAGCTCTCTGCCGTTCAAAAATTTGAACCGATCGTTGTAAGTATCTTGAAATCGCTCAAAATAATTTTTAGAAATTTTTCCGGGATTTTTAGGGCCCCGGAGGACGCCTCACGCGCCACACGCGCCGCTGCAGGGCGAGTGGCTGCTGGAAACCGGTTCTGATCGGTTTGACCGGTTTCAACCGGTTCGAACCGATTTGACCGGTCTGAACCGGTTTGACCGGTCTGACCCGACCCGACCGTTGACCCGACCCGACCCGACCGTTGACCGTTGACCGTTAACTTTCTTTGACCAAAACTTAAAATGGCTTTGACCGAGCATTAAACGACCGTTAATCTTTTCCGAGTATACCTATCCTGATAGTTTTCGACGTGCCGAATCCGTTTCCGTGGTCCGTTTTGTCAAATTCGAATCCGAAGGTCTCCAAATCTACGGTCAAAGTGGTTGACTTTGACTTTGACCAAGAATTTGAATTTTTGAAAAGTCATACTTTATGTTTTTCGACGCCCTGATTCCGATTCCGCAATTCGTTTGGCCAAATTCAGACTCAAAATACCTCAAATTGATAGTCAAACCCGAAAAATGCGTATATACTTAAGAAGTTTAGCTTTGAACAATTAAATAGGATTTGAGACTGATAAATATTATTGTTTGAAGGTACAAGAGACTCTCCGGATCGTTCGACAGCTCGACCCAGCTCTTCTAGATCAGTTAAACCACGTGTGCCAGTATTCACCCGTTCGAAAACTGTAGCAGAGCGTGGTGAAACCAACAATCAGTAGATTTGTTATTTGAATCTATTGTCGAGGTGTGTTCCCTACTTGTTATTGAACTGTTTTATTGGTTTTAATACGTGGTACACCGAATTCATTGGCTATTGTTTTATGGATGCACCAATTTAATGTGACAATTTATGGAATATGGCTGCTATCTAATTTTTGTTTTGAAATGGTATATGATTACCATGCTTTTGGATTTATGGAATTTATGTCACGGTGCAATTGAATTTTGGAATTGAAATACGATGGAATAGCTCTGATCAAGCTAACTGGGCTTAATGTGACTCTTGAGGGCCCCAAGATGTTTCATTAGGTCGGCTTTCCTTTGCTGTGTGCTTAGGGTAAGCTATATGGACTTATTGACTTGGGCTTAAGGATACAAGCTTCAGAGCCTATCCTTAAGTCGGCTTTCTTTTTGCTATGTGCATAAAGTAAGCTATATGGAAAATAATTTTGGGAACTACTGATGGTGTACCAGAAAAGGGTTTAAACTATGATTTTCAAAAAGTTAAACTCTTTTACGAATTTGTGAGATTATTGGACTATGATTTGTACCTATTGTGATTTTATGGAAATGTTGGGACACACTGAGCCTAGCTCACCTTTTGAAAATGTTTTCCCCCTTTCAGATACTGTTGGGTAGATACTTTGGTTCGAGCACTTGGAGGATCAACATATCTCTTGAAGTAAATCAGATTGTAATGTTTTTATCTGGCAAGTTGACTTTATTTTGGTGACATGGACCTTATTTTAAAATATCGGATTTTAGAATGATAACACTTTTGCTACTACTGCTCGGTTTATTGTGATTTTGAATTTGAAGACATGTTTTAAATTAAATTATTATTTATTTGTACTATATTTACGAGTTGGATTTTGATAGTATAAATTGTTTATAATTTCATGTTATTTATAATGTGATTTTATATTGATGGAATAACGGTTGCAAAAAATGTCTTTAATAATTATAATGTGATCCACTAGACTTAGTCGAAACGCATAGGCCGGGTCTAGGGGGTTACATGGAAGATCCTAATCGAAGGTCAATTAAAAAATGCTAATTAAAGTAAAAAAAAAGTAAATCGATCATACAAATTTAAATATAAAAAACAAATGGATGAGTTAAATGTAAGCAAAAAATAAAATAAACAAACTAATTAAATTAAATGGAAAAAAACATAAATTAGTCATGCAAATTTAAATATCTAGAAACAATTAAATAAATCAAATACAAGAAAGAAATAACCTAACATATGCTTAAATTAAAATCTAACAAATTAACATGCAAGGGATTAAATTGAAATAATATTAAATCATGGAGGATTAAAAATGAAATAAAGCATTCAATTAAAATAAAGTGACTAAATTAAAAATAAAATCAAAATCGAATGAATAAATGACAAATAGACTTCGGGACCCAAGTGCAAAAACACGCTGAAACAGGGAGGGCATAAATGAAATTAAGCCAAAATTATACAACACAAAAAAAATGGGAAAATAACAAGATTAATACAATTGGAAAGCGGTAAATATCAAATTCGGTCCTCACAGGTGACCAACTTGTAAAAAATCGCGAGACTTTGGGGGACTAAACAAAATTTCCCATTTTCCTTTATATAAAAAACCCTAATCCCTAATTAACTTAACCCTAATTCATTTTTTAACTTTCCCAACCATCTGAGGAGAGAGAATCGATTCTCTCTCAACTTCTCACCGATTTTCTTCTTGGTCTCCACTCCTTTGTGCTCTGGTCACCGTTCGTGGTGGCCAGGAAGGCCAAAAGATGGCCCCAAACGTCCTAAATCTTTTTGATACTTGATGGAAGAGGGGTAAAAATGTTTTACCTCGAGGCACGTTTGGTCGTTTCTAGTTACCACCGTAACTAAAGACGACAGTAGCATACCTCGGGGACGTAAGAGGGCTAGGGTGTGTGGCTTGTGGAGGAGCACGTGGCAGTCGAAATGGCTCGTGTGTGGGTACGTGAAGCGGATGCAACAGACTTGGTTAGGGTGAAACCCTAGCTGGGAGTGCATCTGGATTGTTGGATCTGGGAGAGATCCAACGGCGCGGATGGCAAAAATGCAAACCTTAGCTGTACTAGGCTTTCCAACATTGGGCAATTTAATTTTGGGCCTTGTAACTTTTCGTGTTTTGGTGTAGATATTTAATAATAATAATATATTAATTATAATAATATAGTGATACTAATAATGATGATGAAAATGAAAATGGTGATTTCACGTCTTATTCGACAGAGACAATGAGTTTTATGAAGGTTATTGGGTTTTGATGTTGGTCGTCATTCTCAATGGAAGATTTTATTTTTCTTCGTATCTTTAAATTGAATATTTTACTTTTGTATGAGTATTTTGGTGACTCCAAAATTTTCTCTATATTGTAATGCGTTGTAATTTTAATTCCTTTCAATATTAATAAAATCCCAGTGCCATTGTTTAAAAAAACATGGTATGAATGTTTAAATATCTCAAAATATATATGATAAATTGAATTAGAATTTTAATAAGATAGAAATGTATAAATGATTGAATTTATAGTTATAAAAATTAATAATGATCACCTTTTGTTTTAGAAATTTTGATCCCTTACAACTCAAGATAGCATCTAAGTGCTCAAAATTCAAAAAGACAACTCAAATTTATTCTTCTGAAATATATAATTTTTTATTTTAAAAATGGGATGACAAGATTGGATGCTCAACCTCATCTACATGTATACAACCCCATATGTCTCTACAGAAATTAATATACCTTCTTTTTTTTCTTTATTTAATTCCAAGATTATATATATACATATATTCGAGCTTACCTTAATCTCTTAACTGAATAAATATGTTAAACTGTATTCGAATTGAAATATCTTTGGCATGCATACAGAATATGAGAAACTTTTTTTTTTCTTTCCTACCTTTCTAGTTCGATTAATTATAGTGGTTGCATTAGAAAGTTTCCTTTTTTTCTTGGGAAACAAACAAGACTTAGCTTTCTATCTTTTTAACTTTCCAACAATGTCTGAGCGAACCCTATTGAGCCCACCAATTAAGGAAGTGTTCATAAACACGAGGCAAAAGAGGAAAAAAAATATAAAAGAAATCCTATCCCTTAAGAATGAACATCCATATTATAAAAACTTTATAATATTAAAAGTGATATATATATATATATATAATGTTTTTATAAAGATTATTAGGTTTTGATGTTGGTCGTCATCCGACTGAGACAAATAGTTTTTATAAATGTTATTGGGTTTTGATGTTGGTCGACCCAATTCTCTCTATATTTTGATACGTTATAATTTTGATTCATTTCATTATCAATGAAACTCAGTTGTTATTATTAGAAAAAGTATTGTATAAAAATTTATTAGATTATAAATGTATCCACAGGTGAATCAAATTAAGTCCGAATAATAGAGGAACTGTTTTGTTTATCCTTTGATTTGAGATATTTCGCTATTTGTAATATTCAATATTAAAAAATTACATTAATATCGATTGTTTTTCAATTACAATACCATGTTATGTGCCAATAATGCTGAGTGTAATGGTAAGACATGTTGCACTCATAAAGGGAAAACCCCATATTCGAACCTTTGAGATGGTATATTATTGGGAAGGACAGTTATAAACCCTAAACATAAATCATAAAACAAACATAAAAAATACTAATATATATATATATATAGTGCAATTCCTTGAGTTATATCTATATATAATACAAATACATTACACATTAATATACATACATACACACCTATATAGAAAATGCTAGTGCGTGCATAACTTATTTCCAACAAGAATATATGCCATATGAAATATTCTTTTAAATGATATCCAAAGGAATGCATGTAAATAGGATTGTTCTATATCTTATATATATATGATCAACAAATACAATATCTTTATACATACGTATATATGACCATATACAAATTATTGGTAAATCATCTTCAACTTTATAGAAACATTTCATTGGCCTATCGTCTCCTACATTCATTATTGTAGAAATGCCACCCCCCCCCTTTTTTCCCCATAAAGTTAAACAATTTGATCTTCTCCCATTGCAATAAATATCTACTTTTTTCCCATAAGAAAAACCCTAACCCTAATCTATATCCCCATCAATATGCATGGGTGCACACATTGGAAAAGGAAACAAAAAAGTAATAAAAACCCAATATCTCCATGATTGAATACTTCTCTACATACAAAGAATAGCCACAAGAAAACCCAAAGTACAAATCTGATTATTTTACAGAGATGATTAATTAACATATGAATAAGCAAGTTAGAAAACTACATTCCCGGTGCTAAGCACATAACTGATTAAAATCCTCATTTTTTTCTTCCTACTGATCATCTTCTTCCTTTGCCTCTCTCCTCATTGGTGTGTGAACAATATCTTGAAGAAGGCCATGGTCTCTAAGTGCTAGAGCTGAAGGATTCGGATTGTTAAAACGAGGTTTCTCTTGGAAGAAACCATTGAACGAGGGATTATGGATCAAGTTTGAGCTCATTGTGGTAATATTCAATGAAGGAGATGATGTGTATATATAGGGTTGTAATTGTTGCTGCTGCTGCTGCTGCTGATGATGATGGTTGTGGTGTAGATACTGAGGTTGAGGAACAACGAAAGACGGAGCACCGAAACTCGAGGAATCGACAGCAAATCCAATGGCTCCTCGAGGCATTATCGGACACGGATGAATATGCTGGCCTTCGTACGTCGTCACGACGGTAGTCGGATCGTCAGACGATCTCTCGAATCTCTTCTTTACCCCACACCCTGCGGTAGTGCAACGATAATAGCTCCTGTTTTTTTTTCCCAATCATATATTAAATTCCCACAATTAAACCAAGGAACATATTCAAAAAATGACATAATAATTAAACCGAAAGTTGATTCATAGATTTTATATTAGACTTCAATATATATATATATATATATATATATATATATATATATATATATATATATATATATATATATATATATATATATGTATATATATACCTGGGATAAGAGCTGTTCTTCACAGCTTTTTGACCATACTTTCTCCATCTATAGCCATCATCTAAGTGATCTATTTCACTCTTGGTCATGAAGGCAAATATTGGTTCCCTCTGCTTCTTTTGATTCTTCTTTTTGGGTTTCAACCTAAACCCATCAAAATTTTACTTCAAAAAACAATCAAAAAGTGTATATATATATATAATACATGGCTTAAAGGAGATCAAAAAAGCTTACGGTTTCTTTGTTTTGTCTTCATCATCATGATCCCCAGTTTTGTTCTGCTTATCATTTGCGGGTTGTTCATTGGAAAAAGAACAGATGGAAGAAGAGTTTGGTGTTGCCGGGTTGTTCAAGACCTCTGAAGATTCCGGCGCGGCGGAAGTCTCCGGAGACAAGAGGCTTCCCTGGTGGAGGTGCTTGGTGTTATTGTCGAGCTCGTTTAATACTAAATCGTGGCGGCGGCGGCGGTGGTTAAACACTGCAGCAAGCTCAGCCGACGATGGTGGTGGGAGCATCGGAGACTGAATGAAAGAATCGAATAAAGAAGGAGCGACAAAATCTTGATGGATTCCTAGCAAATCCATGAAACCTAATGATGATCCCCACTTATCACCACCACCAGCAGCTTCACATGATGTTCCCGCCATGTCAAAGATGCTTCCACCACCACCACCACCACCACCGAAGGCTGGCGGCGGAATTTCGTTGGGAAATATCATATTCTCCATGGGATTCTCTTGCTTCTTCTCCATTCAATTATTCACATATTCTCTTGCCTTTTATTGAACTGAAAAAAGAAGGAGAAAATGGGAGGAGTGTTGCATTTGCTTGTTTCTTTTCAAGTGTTAAATGTGAATGGATTTTTTTCTCTCCTAGAAATTGGAGAACAGCTTGGATTTTTTTATTCTTTTTTTTTGGGGAAGAAGCTGATCGACACTTGCCGGTTAATTATGAACAGCCATACAAGGCTAATTACTCCATTAAAAAAAATTTTGAGTTAATCGAGTTGTCCAATTATATTTTATAGTTTAAATTTTATTTACTTTTTTAATATTAAAATTTATAAATTTTGAGTCCTATTAAATTAAATTATTTCAGTTTTATTTAAATTTAATTATATTTTATAATATTATAGTACTAATTAATTCTAAGTCAATCGATGTTTTATAATCATTTATATATATATATATTTCTTCATATAGACTCGACTTGTACTTAAGAACTAATTCTCTAATTATTAAAGAATTTTAATTTTTTAATCTTATAATATAATTTAAATTCTTTTAATTTATAAAAGATTCTGATAAAAAAATTTAACGTTAAATTAAATAAAAAATCAACTTTTTAATTCGAATTAAATTTTGTTTCTCTTAATCGTATTTTTTTTAAAATTAAGATAAATATATCGAGGGCATTTATTGATTTTAGACCGCCCTCTCGTTGTTTGGGTCCACATTTGCGTACGCGTATTGTTAACCGGTTGAACCGGTTGTGTGTGAAGCGGGGCTATGTCCTTTTTAGTTCTTTTCGCGGTTCGTCGTTTTAACTTTTTAATTTTTCCCCCAAAGGATTAACTAAAATTATATTTGACAACATCAAAAACTAGAAATAGTTTATGTAAAAGATATATATTTATAAAAAAATAATTTAATAAAATTATTAAAAACGATGTGAAATAAGATTTATATATAAATTTATATATTATTTTGATCTTTAAATAAAAATTTATTTTATTTAAAAATTATATGAAAATATAAATGTATTAATTATCATTTAAATTTCTATGTCTTTTCATAGTGAGTTTCCTTGTTTTTGTGGCGTTATCCCTAAAAGATTGGTATAATTTCTCTTAATTATGAAACCATATATAAAAACTCTAAATTGGACTTGTTCATGGTATGAATTATTTATCCAATTTAATAGGTTTGGTCCTACCTAAATTCAGTTATAATAATAGAAAAATATTTATAACTATAAAAATATATAAATATAAATATTAGGATATATTTTTAACATGTCACACTAATGTATAACTAATAAAATAATTTCTGATTAAGATCAAATTCAAATCTAAATATAAAATATTATTGTTATAGAATCAAACTTAACCCAACCTAACTCATAAACAAATATAATTTAAAATTTATGATTATTTTTAAAAAAATTTATGTGTGTGACAAAGAAGAATTCACCATTTCAATTGACCCATTTTGTAAAATTATCATCTAAGCATCAAATCTTATGGGTATGAAGTCCATGTATTATACCTAAAAGTTTGTTTTAGTTCTTATGTGTATGAAAAGTTAACATTTTAGTTATTATTTGTTAGCTTAAATAAGTACTCTTTAGAACCCTTTAGTTTTGAGTTTGAGCAAATTAATCACTCTCAAAATATTTTTTATGGATTTTTTTACATAAAATTACTTGTGAAATCTAAATGTAAAATTATTACTATTCTAACTCTATTTTTTTATCTTCACTTACGTAATATTGCAATTACAAATCAAAACATTAAAAATATTTAATTGTAAAAAGAGTACATAGAATTTTCTTAGAATTTGTAGATATGGAGTGAGATGTAGGTTTAATAAAAAAAAATACAATACAAAAATAAAAAAATATATTTAAAATTTCATTGAAATTTACAAAATTATAAAAATAGTATTATAAAATATCATTAAATTTTAAATTTTACTTTATTAAAAAAACTATCCATTCATAATTAGACGTGTCATGTACTGAAATAAAAGATCATTATCTTCATAGATCATTTCTTTTTTTATTAAGCTAAGATGATTACAAAGTAGTATATGTTCTAAATACTCTTAATCATTTGACAATGAACGTTCAATCACCCTGTTGCAGCCGCTGGTGCTCAAACCCGTGACCTCTAAGAACAACAACGATTCCTTTAACTACAAAGTAGTATCTTCCTAGATCATTTTTATTTATTCTCTTTCAAAATACACATCGAATAAATTGCTCTTTTTTTAAGAGAAGTCAATTTATTCAATTATAAAATTTGACAGAGTTAAAAGAATGTTTAAGCTGAAATATTTAAGCCAAAACCACAACTTTAAAATTTTAAACCAAAGTATTCACTTTTCAAATGTACATGAACTAAGTGTTTTTTAACATTACAATGACTACTATAAACTTCTAAGTATAATAAAATGACTAAAAACCAAAGAACTAAATAAGCATTTAAATATAATAAAAGGACTTCTAATACACTTTAAATTACTATTATTATTTTTGGATAATCTGGAGTGATTAAAATATAATATATGTTTAGAATATTTTTAGTTATTAACAATATGTGTATATCAAACATAATTTTGCTCGAACTCAAGAAATACCGCTTTCTTTACTACTATTATTATTTAATTACTTTGACCAACAAATTATTGATATGAGATACATATGTATTTAAGACTCAAAATTTATTGCATTTCTCTAATATAACTATTTTTTTCTTCTAAAATTTAACATAAATTTACCACGAATAAAGTAATTTTTATCGGGAAGAGGGTGTTGTAAATGATGATATAATATATACGTTAATGTTTTAAAAATATTTAACTAAGAGAACATAAATTAAATTTATAGCGCAAATAAGCTATGACATTTCTCACCATTTTTTTAATAAATACTAAAGAGTAACATTATAAGCAAGATTGAATTATGTATGTAACAAGTAAAAAAAAGATTGGACTAGGTAGGAGCGTGAAGAACACGGATGAGTTTGGGCGCTTGGTTATGGAATCACACGACGAAACCCCGTAGGTAGGACACATCGATCACCGACTGAGTAAAAAAACAAAAGAAGATAATTAATGTTGAGTTATTGTTGGGCATTGCTTCCCAAAGTCTATTCTAAAAATTATATATGTCCACCTCAACTCCATACGTTAAGACCCCGTCAAAAGGCAGGGCTTCTTAACATTATTTTAATTATCATTTATTAATCAATTAATTTAAATTAAATATTATAATCATTTATTATAAATGATTTTTTTTACTCGATTTATTTTATTCACAATATTAAAATTTAAATTTATAATTTTATCTACATAGCATACCTTGTCGTACAAAATTATTAACATCTATTATTCGCACGTTGATAGATAAATTATCTAGAGATAACATATACATAACAATAAAATACTTATATAATAATTTATTTATTAGTTTTGATTTTTGAATAAATGTAGGAATGGAATGAAAAATTTTAATGGGACCTTTCATGAATATAAGGAAGAGTGTAGTACCATTAATTGATGATTGATCTTTACCCAAACATATCAATCTTTCATGTAGAGATTGTACTCCCCCCCCCCTCTCTTAATTTAAAGGAGTTTATCAATAATATTTATGACTTAGATGTAGATGATGGTCCATAATTTAGTGGGGGAAAGGTAGTGTCCATAACCCATGATGGTAGCCTTTTATCATCTCCTATAAAACCCTATATATAAATATTTTTAAATTTTTCAAAAATAAATAAATAACAAGGCACATCCTAAGTTATACCCAAAACTACAATCAATCAATCATAAAAATTTCATAGCTTAATGATGAGTGTAGCAAGTCATAGAATTACATGTTTAAATTTTTTTAAGAGAGAGACTCTTATAATCAAAATCGAATTGAGATATAATATCAAACAACAGAATAAAACACGAGTATCTATAATTTTATTAACACACTGTAATCATCAATTTTTTATTCTTTTGAACCCTTATATTACTATTATTACAAAAAATCATAAAAAAAAAAGAAAAAGAAAAAGGACAATCCCTGAATATCCGAGACATTAAATGCCTTGGTTACCACTGTTGCCACCGACGCCTGACATGCATGGAAACCTAATACTCATGTTGTTTTGCACACCACAACCAAGGAGACTCTCCATATAATATGCAAAGAAAATCAAAGGGGGGGAGAAGGTTTAGCATTTTCTTTTTTCTCTCTCTTTGTAACCTGGAGGGGTTCTATAGAACCCTCTCTGAAAATATGTAAAAAAGGGTTCCTCGATATTTTTCAAGCAATGAAAATAAAGAATTGGCCCTATTTTTTTATTAATAATGAATACAAGTTTTCCCCTTTTTTAATGTTCGAAACATCGCCAAAAAATCAACTAAAAAATAAGAGTCCATTCAAAACGAAAACAAAATAAAGAAGAAAGAGGAGAACATTTTACCATTCAATCGAACCCCATTGTCAGAGTTGAAGAGCTTCATCGGTTAATCCAAATGGTGAGAAGAAACATATTAAATAGGGGAACAACATATGTGTAACACCCTCAGACCGATACGGGTGACCCGATTCGATTCGATGTGTCACGTTAGGGCCACCAGAGCAACCCACAGTAAAAATCCAAGAAAAATTAAAATTTATGTTAAAACGTGTAAAATCATAAAACAATTTTATAATTAAAATACAAGTTCAGAAAACCATTCATATATTACAAACATAATTAAAATCATACAAGTTTCAGACTCAGTATAAAAAAATAAATGTGACATACATACCCTCTGATTACACTTGTACCATACTCTTCAACCCAAGCCAAAGGAACTCCCATTACAAATGTCAAAAGTTACACTGGATCAATTCTTTTAACCTGAAATGGTGAGTAAAATAGTGAGCTTTGGGAAGTTCAGTAATACATAACTACCAAGTGATGCTGAAGGACATACATATAAATGGAAAACATAACTTTTCCTTATTGATTCATACGTCTACAGGTTTTCGTGAGGAGCTGTTGTTCCACTGATATTTCTTCAAGTAAAAGACATACAACTTCCAGTTTAGAGGGAACGTTCA